AGGCTACCGTTTATTCCCGGTGTTCCATCCTCAGGTCATTACATATATAATGGTTGCAAGGCTAAACAAAACAAGCCGTGAAGTTTTAAAGCAAGTAGCGTTTTGTCCATTACAGCAAACATGTATGCACAATTAGGTGTCCTGTAGACTCAGAGGTCAACTGACTAGACTCCGAAGTGTTCATTTGACTGGTGGTGTCACGGGGTTTCACAGGATGAAGGCAACATAAGCGTTCGCACAACATACATTTAGTGGCACAGGCGCAGCTTTTGTCGGTCCATTAAAACGGTTTCGGCTGTGACATAACTATACATTTGGATCGGCTTTGTATGGTCATCGAGGGATAATGAAGATACTCCATGGTCTGTATTGCAAACGCGTTGCAAAATTTCTGTCTGATTTCGAAGCTGTCGGTGTTCGAATACGGATTTTGGTGGAAGGTGTTGCACAACATGGCTCATTGTTATTGGCACTTACTACCTGCTTGATTATGACTGCAGGGATAACTAAGGAACAGCATGGTTGGTTGTACAATTCGTCGATTGTATAGATGGCAAATCCCTCTAGATTTATCCCGAGGTCCAAAATATAGTTATAAAAAAGCAAATTTTGTTAACTAGTGGACATTAATTGTAACAATTCCCCATTTTTGATGTTCTGCGTCATCCTAGCTTCTTTTGACAGCCTCCGTCACTCTAGTCTCAACACTGTATGAATGTTTAACCAATGTACGATAAAGTCAGTCATCAACGACTAAGAGCAGATGCAAAAAAAGTATGCGACAGTGTCTGCACGTGTTTTCAACCCAAAATTATTTAAGAGGTAAAATTACGAACCACCTCCACTTGTTGGAACGAGAACAAATAATGCTGGCACAAGAAGCTAACCTAGTGTCTTCCGATTCTTTTCTTTCTCTTGGGGCGGTTTTTAGTTTGGTGAAAATGGACGAGTTTTTGACAAATTTTGTTCTAAAGGGTTTATCCTTGAGTTATCTTAGCTACGGTCATCACGAAGAATTTAACGTACATTCGTGATTTCGAATTTGCGAGATATGCATTTTAAGTAGGACCTGACCAAATTCGGTCGCTCACAAGTCAGTTTCTTCCTGGGTACTTCTGGAACCACAGCTGGAAGAAGATCTGCGCCTATATTACAAAAAGTTGTTACTAACTACGGTTTACGGTCAGAAGTGATCGTGCAGTTCGGCCCGTGTTCATTTCTCATGAATCATGATTCGAAATCGTGTGGCCTTTGAGATGTTACATCCCATGCTCGAAGACAGTCGATTATCGGCGTTGGGAGGCAACAAACTCCGTGCTTAGTGTTTTGGATCGGAACACAGGGCCTAAATGCCTTCCCTATCCAACTCGCTATTTGGCGAACCGGCTTGACACCGCTTTTTTCTCAGGAGTGACACCATTGAATAAGTCATCAAAATGTGACCTGGGGTCTAAGATACACCCCATTGTTTGTTATAGTATGCACAATGTAGTTTAGTTTGGTTAGGAAATACGCATTAGGAATGCACACTGCGTTTGACCNCCGCCGCTCGAGCAACTCGGCTGGTCAAAGGTACCCAGAGATTAGGTGTCGTAACAGAAACTGTTCGGAGTTGCTTGCGTGGACACAGCATGTCTTTGCAAAGGGCATTAAGATTTGTTTACGTCGGAAGGCAATTTATTATTTCTCTACCGATGTAGTGGTAAACTCTGCAGATCCATGGAAAATTCGTGCATTCTGAGGGGAGAAGTACATATTCTTGGATGAGCCCATTCCCGTCTGTGGTGAGTTTTCCTGGGATCAGATTAGGAACCTTCTTCAAAATGTTTCACGCGAAAGTGGAGACTTTGGCAACAGGAAAGATTCCTAGAGCAGAGATGTTGAAAATTGGAGTGTGGATTGATCTCACTTGAGTGTTCTGGACTTTAGACCGGCGATTCCTCTAGCGTTTGAACATCTGGGCAGAACTCACAACGTTCCTAGTCTGCGATGTCCACCATAAAATTCGCAAGCTGTCCAGGAGTCAAAGTTCCCATAGTGTCTTGTGAAACTCTATGTGTCGCGGACATTTTCGTCATATTGTGGAGCTCACATTAGGTCCATGTTGGGTTTTGTAGGATATCCGGTTGTCATCTTAATATACATCACACCGTATTGCTACCGCCAGCAGAGCCTTTTAGCCCACTGGACACAACCAAGACGCCATGGTAAGCATCTAGTTGGCAATATCGCAGAGGATGGAATTTGTAACTGAAGGGCTTCTAATGAGAAAGTATTGTGCAATATGAATATATACGCGTATAATTATCTGGTGTTTGACAGTAACCTGCTGATCAACAGGAGCTGGTATAACTGACGTCCATTTACAGAAGACAAACCAGCGGCTATTTGAAAGGAGTGGTGTTACAAGAAAGCCGGTGTTCTCCATCCAAACCTAGTGGTACATAATGCAAACAGGAACAACTGAATAACAGTGGGCACCGTTACTATTGATCTCCATCATAGCGATGACATCATCCGCCAACGATCTTCCATCTTACTTTCCATAGTAATCTGACACCGCAAAGTGCTCCGGAAGAATAAATACATGGAAGATCACTCATGTATCTACATCCATTCGCAATCCACCACCGTCGGGCAAATGAAGCTCCTGAATCCGAGCAATTCCTCCATTGTACAGCTCTCGGTTGTCCCGGCATTAATGTCGATAAGGCAACACAGCAATCAGTTTGCCCGATTTTATCCAGGCGCCTGTACCTGAATTAATTCGCAACCGCTTATTCGAATTTGAAGTACTTTGTTGTAAACATTTGACTAGATGGCGAAAGTGGTTCTTTGAAACATTCATATTTCGACTGGAAGGGGATTCTTCTCAGATGAACTGGGCCTGGTGCTGCATACCCAGTGTCAGAATGTTTATAACAACACACTCACGCAGTCCTCTTTTTGGCGGCAAGACTTTGGAAATAAAGACGCAGTCCTGTCGATAGTACACAGCTGGGTTAAGACAGAACAGCTCTTGTGATGATTGCCTAGACTGCATTTGTAGTTTTACTTTGAAGCGGCCGAGCCTTCACATCTGGACGAACGGAAATGTTCCCACAGAATGATAGCCACTGCGCCCATAAATCAAAGAAATCTATAGTACCCACGCTCAAGGACTTTTTGGTTTGTTCCTTACCTCCTCTCTTTCCTGCAGCTGGGGTTAGGAGAAAGAAGAGCAATGTGCAGTGTTTAGTTCATCCTTCCGTCCTCAGCCTCACTATCATTGAAAGCACAACCTCAATGCTCAACTGTGATGCTTCACTGTCATAGGACGTCATTGCAACAGATACCACTGTCTTCGAATTAGGTCGTACTGTAGAGGGTGTAAACCAGTGGTTTTTGTTCGTTCACCGTCATTTTTTCTATCTTTAAACATTGGGTGACTGCGCTACCCTTGACCTCTCGTGGCGAACATCTTAGTCTCCCAAACCGCTGTGCACATCACGTGACGCTGTTGATTCTGGAAAGCACCAACAGATAGTATGTCTATCTGTCTGCCTTTCGCTCTGTGTTTAGCTTTCGGTCTTCCTTAGCGACTAGGAATGTCCATTTTTACATAAGCATGATTTTTCCTAACAGGAGATACCAGATTTATTCCGGATGCATTACTAGGTAAAGATGAGTCTGAAATTTTTTATTTAGAAGCGCGAAAATGATCGTGGCCTTTTGAGGCCTTTTCGAGAACACTGTGAGTACTGTATTAAGTCTAGTTTCTATTTTATGCCAAATTATTGCATAGACTAAAACGAAGGTCAGCACACTGTATCATTCCGTTTCAATGACTTATCAAGTTAAACCTGAGCTCAGTTGCCGTCAAAGTTTTGTATCATCCATCTATAGCACAATGCTTTATTGCGGTTGTTATTGTACGGTTCCATACCTATATCGGTGGTGTGCTACAAGACAAATCACTTAATCACGTGAGTTCCTGAATTGGGCGTGTGACTTATTGTGAGGCACTTATTTCATATATTCATGCAGATGAACACTAGGAGATTGCTGGTGTGCATCAACCATCCGAAATTCCATAAACATGGAGAAGGTAGTTTGACCGATTGAACTGAGAAAATGTGTTCTGGTGAATGTGTACATGCGATACTTGGAGCCAGGCGGCATGAAATGACTTTTTGTCAGTCCTAAATTTATGAGATTGCTAGTCTGAACTTATCTGTTAGGTTTCACTGCACATTCAATGCCGCCAGGATAACAATGATCCACGCATGTCCACGCATGTCGATCGCTACCAAAAGTAGGTGTAAGTATCAGTTCCACCGTTAAGGTTGACGATTAATCCACGGGACAACTAATAAAGGAAGTAGGGTAAACCCTACAGGAATAGCGGTTAATAGAGTAGAGAATCAGCATCAAGAATATACACTCATATGACTCTTGTCTGAACAATCGTCCTCCTGTCCCCGCGCAATCCTCCTGGTGAGTCCTCACCAACCTGGGGGGGAAGCACTGGGTATGAGCTGCGCTCTTATTAGCGCTCATCACAAGTGCACATCCGCACATCTGACATGAGAGGCGAGCGTGTTACCACTACTCCGCCAGCGCACACTGTACTTATCCGAATCAAAGATGCCACCATTGAACATGCGTCTGTTTCAGATAGCTGTTTCAAACTGGAACCAGGCCTCCGACACACTCCAGTAAAATTTACAGATATATTAAGAAGCACAATAGGTATGTGGCGGTTCGACTCACCCTTACAGTTTCGGCTTAACGGCTGGTAACTGAAGTGAACCGTGTGCCCTCCCTATTCGATTATGTGTGTCAAAACCAGCTGAACGAGACTGCCTACCGCCAGTAGTCTATGATGTATGCTCATGGACTTCATTCCTTTATTCCCTTTTCTACATACAGAATTGAAAATAATAAAAAAACCGGAAGAGAATTGTTCGTTAGAAAACACTTCCTTAAATCGGCTCGTTTTCATGGTGTGACAAAAACACATGTTGGAAATGTATGAGGCAAGTACACATGTCTTAGTCAAATCTAACTATCTTTATTTTTCCCACAAAGCAACATGTGGCCAGGAGTTCAAGACCGAACTTGGTTCATTCCAGTGGAAGGGCAGTCCGACTGGCCCGCACAGCTGCAATTGGAGAATTGATAGCCCCTTCCAAAAGCCCATTCTGTTACGATTCACCACCCTGAAAGTAAGTTTGCACAAATATCGCTGCGATATTTAGAGTGAACTGTAAATTGACTTGAACTTTAGAACGAGAAAACAAGCTTGAAATAAAGAAGTTCTTGGGTTCCGAAAGGGTAAACCACACGAGATAGTGAATCCGATTCTCAGCGTTTCGGGCGAGTTCGCATTTCTATTTACTTTGGTAGGCTTCGTGCTGTTCTTCTGCAATAATCCGTAATTCTGAAAAACGGTGTTTTCGATTTCTGAAACGCTCAGACGAGAGAAACCCTCGTTTGAAACATTTTTGTTCCCAACTTAATGTTCTGCATTTGTGTCAATAGTCCTACACACAGATATCTATTATTACATTCCAAGTTCACTTTAACTTCTTGTCTACTGCTACCGGTGACACCGCCGCTAAGCATCCGTCGTTCTGACAAGGGCTGGAAGAACGTTCTCACTAGCGAAAAAGCGACGAAAAGTTCCGACTCTATGAAAGGGTATGAATCTGGCCGGACCAGAAGACACATCTTTTTATCAGTTTGCCCACCCGGGTAAACAACCACTTCTTTTGAACATCAGACGACCTAAGAGGTTGTCACACAATGGAGAAAAATCGCTGGACCGGCAGTTTGGTGTCCCCATTAGGTGAATAAATGCGCGTTTGAAAGCAGACGCGTAAGCTGAATCAGAAAACAGGACAAAACTGATAGCCCTGCGTGTGATTATCGGTCAACTACTGCTCGCCAAACGACGCTTTGGGTACCGATCAAGTGTTCTAGTAAATACACGCTACTAACAGGCTCACAGAGCACTCATACAATGGTACGTCGGATGAATGATAGAAAATCCGAACTTCGTTGTCGCAGTAACGTCAAATGTCTGTATATCATCAGGGAAGTATGTGCAACTCACATGGGTGATCAATTTACAGACGAACTCAATCTGCCATCCACGAATTCCTCATCCAAGCAGCTAACCGATCTTTGATGAAGGGGTGCGGTTTTAACAATTTGTTTAAGTTTTTTGGTTCATTTGAGTATCATTCATTTACGCAGCTCATGAAATGTCAATGTACCATAAGGCTTTCAAGCGGAACGGTTTACTAGTTAAATCACGTCACAGCGTCGTACTGGATTAATCTACTGTATCAGTCTTATTTTTCTGCCCACAAAAGTGATTAACATTGTGTCTAAGTTATCACCCTTAAATGGTAGCCGCTTCGATAATCCCCAGAGCGAAATTTTCCACTAACTAATCTTGAGAGTTAAGCACTGATGGATGCCACCATCATAGCGCCGCCAATGATTGTGATGGTTATAAACTTTTCTACATCCCATCGATGACGACCTTGCATAACGTTGTACTTTGTAGTTTTCTCAGTATTACAAACATGTGTTTCATCTAAATTTATCGTGACGACTGAATGAACCGTATGCATAAAAATCTCCAGATCTAGTGTCGCCGAATGCTTTTACACTTACCGAAACATGATTCATCGAAATAAAGAACGGTTGACTGATTCCCAAAGCTTACGTCGATACCACACGCCCGAAATGCTGTTAATCTATCCGAAATATTCTGTAGGCCACTAGTTCTCTGGGTACGATAATCCAACCGTGCTGTTAATTGCACGATGCAGTCCCAGACAAGGTAACCGTGGTTCGTAACGATGGAGTGTGGAAGAAACAGTCATATGGGTTCTCCCAACCATGAAAAATGAAAAAAATCTCTTATCGTACCTCATCTTTAAGCTTTTCAATTTCGAACTCCGAGTGGACTTAGTTTAACTCAAATTTATCTCTGCAATTTCAACGTGGCTATTTGAGTTTCATGGCATATTCATGGCATTTTGCTTGCTGAAACGCGCACCACATTACTCTTCTTGCCTTGTGGAGAATCAAGGTAAGGAGTGCTCGTATTTTATTTCTTATGTCGATTCATCGCCCCCCCCCTCTTGGAATTGAATAGCTAACACCACTTGGCTAACAGGACCTGTATGACCCTACAAGAGACTGTTGTCTCTTGGAGAAATTTTTCAAAGAAGCCTTGAAAGTTTGGTAAGTGGATTGGTGGTGGTGAAATAAGGCCCTGTAGTACAATATAAATTTGGGGAAGTAATCGTTTTCCTGATGCAATTCGATGACGATATGATGCTTCTGTGATACAATTTACTTCTGGACCAGCACATTCATACTTTCTCAAGTAAACAGCGAGTTAATCCAACAGTCATTTGGTCACATCACTCTTGCTAACACTTTTTTCTCGTGCTGTCCATGAAGATAAATTCAGAGGGCAATGAATGTGAGACAAATTATGTATCAGTTAATGACGTGAATGGGGACACTCAGAAGAATCTGGGGAAATGGTGTGGAACAAAGCCTGAGGATTTGTGGATTCTGTCGACTGGACCAAGTTTGTTGATCCAACTTCAAACTGAAGGATCGAATGCTGACGACCATTTGGACGCCACTTTTATTTCACGTAAGTCACGTTCAGCTGAACAAGCCCAAAAAGTAGGCTCGTTTTGCAGTATCATATTTTTCTGTTCGTACACAGTACGTCTCTACTCACCGTCTGCGAGGAAACAAAGAGGTCTGTGGTTAAACCTATTGTAAGAACACAAAAAGCGCACTTGGTTATTTCCTGCTTCCCCAATCCACGTGGAAAAGTGAAGCTGTGAGTACTTCAAAGGCTCACCAAGTTTTTCAGACATCACAGGAGAAGTTCCAGTCGGCATAGTTGTGTTTTTATTCAGAAATTTCAAATGATGAAACAAGAATGTACTCATCGTTATTCTTTGTTTGAGTTGACTGGATAGGGATTTAACATTCAAAATGGTGTGCACTAAAATGTGGCTTTGTTCAAAATCCTACTCACTTGTTTAAGCTTAAGCTTGCTTCGTGTAGCCATTCTAAACACAGGCCCTTTTGATGATAATAAGTTCATTGTTGCTCGGGCCGCCTGCAACACATCCAATTCAGTTTGACTGAGTTAACTCACAGAAGGATGTGAGAAATGTTATGGCCACTAATACCTCTGCCTTTTCAAGTACTACGCAAATAATTGAGACGTTTTTGTTCACCTTCTTCATCGCGTTAATGAAAATCATCCGCTTTTTGCTGACTGTTACTTTTACCTTGGACCTGTAGTTGCCCTGTAGCCGAATAAGGGTTGTTCAACAGCCAGTACAGAGTGAAAGAATGTCGTCAGATACTCGTCTGCTGTTCAGCTCAGTCCTGCCGTGAACACAGCTACGTCAGTAGGCTTAGCTAACACCCAGTAAATGATGAATGATGCTAAAAGAGAGAACACTAAACATTGAATAGCAGTCTCATCTGAGTACACTGGTTAAAGATAGGGCAGGATGGTTAGTCAGAGTGAAAGATAAAGCAGCCAGTTTTACTTTTTTCACCCTCTTAGGTAAGAACTGGGTCAAAGCACGAGTACAGTGCGCAACGAAGGGAAAATGGCAAACAACTTAACACCCAAGTTCAACTGGTAGCAGGTGATAAAACCCTAATAGTTTCAAGCACGTAGGACAGAATGGAATTAAAAGGGAAATCATGATAGTTTTATTCCGCTGACTCGCTTTGAAGGGTCCGCTTAAAGGGAGCCATAAGGTATACCGACGCCCACGAAACAAACTAACCTATATTATTTGCGTCTCTTTTTATATAATTAGCTTGATTCTGTAGCACGCAACGCTGACGGAGTGAGAACGCTCCCGTCCAAGATGTGATCTCATGAAAGTACTCAACTACTGGCAAGATAAATGTCTGTTTGATTTATCTGTTATGTTGACTGGCCGCTGCTCAGATTGCATTTTATCGGTTTGACAAATTTGGTGGCTGCCTTGTAAAGTGCATTGTGGTCATACGAGTAAGTCTCATGAACCAGTCATGTTCCGAAGTCATGTTCCGAAACGGTTGCAATCTAGCACAAGTGAACAACAGCCAAAGACCTCAACCGATGGAAGAGCTTTCCGAACACGTTGTATCAAACGCAATCCCTTGCTACCAATAGAAAAACGTGTATATGTTATATCTGCTAATTCGTCAATCTGTTGTATCTGCTGCTGACCCGCTCCAGTGCCTAGAGCCGGAGAAAAGAGACCCACAGAAGGGAACACAACCGCTATATTACGAGCACACGAGTGCGAGAGGAAAAGTTTCAAAGGCTCCACGCTATTTGAAGGAGACTTTCTGATACTGATCCAGGCTGTTTGATAGGCGGCAATGAACATCCATCAACATCGATCGTGCCTCTATGAAATGCCTGAACGCTGATCACATTCGGTCGTGCTTCTGTGGCGTTCAAGAACACTCCCCAGGTTTTGTCGAATTGATTGAATGATTGACTGGTCTGGATGCCTGTCGGCTTTCCTGTTGAGTTTTTGGTGGAGCAGTAGGTTCCGGGGGTTCTGAGGTTGCTTTCAGGAATCTGACCTTCCTGATAGTATCCTAAAATCCATCAAAGCAATGTCTCTGAACCCCTTGTATACAACACGTTTTACGTGAGGGTGGAACAAGTTCAAATGCGGTGATAGTTGTTATATATCATTATGGTTAGTGCAACCAGATATCAAGTAGTATTTTTAAGATAAAAACTAGATAACAATGGGGAAGGTGATTGGTGACAAATAGAAATTTCGAGGTAACTGAAAACGTCCCATGGGATATTTGTATGCTGATGGCTAATGTTAGATTAGTTCAGCGTGGAGTACCAATTATTGTACTAGTGCTAACAATTATCAGAAATAATGAACGATATTTTGTGTAACTTGACCCACGCGCCGATGTTGGTCCTATTCATTTTTCGTATCATCTTGTCACTGAGACACAACCCATGTTTGATTCTGGCTGACTGCCTAGTTGATCCCAACTTTACTAGAAATGTTTGATTATACATGAAACGAATCCAGACAAGTTACGTCCCCATTCTCAAGTATATCTGCTAAAAGTAACTCCGATTCCTAGGTCATTGCGTGGTCGTTTCAAAAGTGTTCCGTAGCCGAATTGGTCAGTGGTATTATCCAAGCACTGCTTGGCTCCCTATTTAGGGTTGTTTTTTGAACCCAATGGAGAAACAACTCGACGCGAGCGTATTTGCTTCTTTCGATTTTATAGATTACGTTTCTCTTGGATCCTGAAAGAATGTGATACTGGAACATATTATACTGGCCAACTAAAAACTGTTATCCTACCTGGTATCATGCTGCACCATTGCACCCGAAATCTAACAAAGCACTGACTTATTTCGCACGATTTTTTGACTGGGGTTGTATGCGCAGTTGTGCGCAGTCTCTCCTTCCTTCATCATCCTCATCATTTGCGGGAATTGCATTTTCATAACTATCCTTCTCCTACTGAAACCAAATGGACATAGACCTCCTTATCCACTCGGCCAACATCGCGATCTGTATCATCAGGCCCATCAAACGTGAATGGGCGCTTACTGTCTTTCCCATTGACATCAATTCCACACCGAATATCATAACTTGGTTGCATCAACACAGCCGTTCAAGCGACAGCTCAAAAGTTTTGAGGGACCAAGGTGCCTCGTTGGTCACTAATCTGAGATGGGCGCTTAGTTTGTAAGTGATACGTCACCAATATGTGTGATAAGACCAGTGAGCAGTAGAGCGTGGGCACGTCATGTTTTAGCTGTGTGGTGGATTGTGGCATTCGACTGGCGCTGTGTCTGCGTTTGTGCACCTCTCGTTTGCCCATTCTGACAGGTACTTTTGACTTGTCTTCTGAGTGGTCAGTCCAACTGTCTGACAAACTGCCTCACGCCCTGTATTGGCATTTTGGGGGAAATCTAAACCAGAATATTCCTCCCCGCCAGGCAATTTTTGTTGCCCATGCTTCACGGATGATACTGTCACTTGATTCGTTTTATAGTTCCGTTTACGACTGAGTTAGCAATTTTTTCAATCACTATGCTACGTGCCCTTCCAGCGGTATTTAATTTCCTGTATCCCAGCCACATGCCAATACGACTACAATCAGACATGTACTTACATCAAGTCCCCGCCCGATGAATTTTGGTGGAAGTACCCACTAAGATGTCTTTGGAGAATTCGCGTGCCCGATGATTATCAAATGCGGTTACAATTTCAAAGTTTCTTTGTGAGTTCCATTTTTTGTGTGCCACGAGATGATTTGGGAATGTTTGGAAAGTATAAAGTGTTGTGCATTTTTTTTTGGTTAAAAAACGAGTAACAAATCTGAAGAGGTCTTCTATTTGTTCCATTGGTGTTTGCAGACCGCCATGTTTTTATGGTTAGGACTGCCATTTACTCACTTAGGACTTAGCTGCTCAATGTGCTTCATCGAGAAAAACATCATTGGTATCACGTGATGCACCATACAAAATCGTATATAATAATATGTCCTAACCAAAGAAAATGAAGAGATATTTCATTGGCTGTTAGAACTACCTTCGTGACAACAGGTTACTACATGATAGTATGTTGTCCGGGACAAGGACAGACTGTCTAAATTCCGTACGCATTTGCAAGAAATCTGGACAGCTATATTATCATCTGTGGGGGTTTATTTAGACTACTGACGTCTCACAGGTGGAAAGTGAAACATCGCTGGCGGTTAAAATTTACTAACGCCCGAATCATGTCACTCTGAAGGATATCAGGGAAAAACAACAGACGGTTAAAGACAAACAAACTAATGGATGTGCTAACACATAGTCGAGTACACAGACAGTGTACGAACAGTAAATGGGATACACAAACAGTGGCAATCTTTTGCGGATGGTAGGTAAATGCGGAATAGACTTTCCTAACAAAGAAGTAATTGGCTTAACTTATTTCTCAAGATGGGTTTCTCTATATGCATCCACTACAGGTAGATAGGGTGCAGTTTTGGCACGTGCATTGCCATTACAACAAGCTCCGAAAATAGAGTTTCCATCCGAGGGCTGTTTTAACCAAAACTCTTGGCTAACATTTTGAAAGTCTACCTTTCTAACAATAACATATGTATCACTAAAGTGTTTTACCGCAAAGTCGCTGTTCTTTCAAAAACCTTCTTTCTGTGCAAAACAAATTAAAGTGCCGTTTTGAAAACACATCTGGCGAAATACCAGGTGGTTTCATTTTGACAGAAACAACTAGTTTCAGGTGGGGAATCATGCCAATTGCTCTTTGCATCTACCGAGGACACTTATGCAGTTTATGTATACGCATCATACAGTTTAGGTTAATACAGCTTCAGCTCTTTATAAAAATTGTACCCAGTTTCATTAGCCGCGTCTCGGTTTGTCGTTCTTCGGCATATATTATGAAACCCGTAACATTTATACGCTGATTCAAGGAAATCCGCCACCAGTGTGAATTTCAGCGAACCATGTGGCAGAGATGCTGTAGCCATTTTCGTGTATTAGTTTCCAAAATTCGAAAATGATATATTGCGTTCGTGTGCACGCCAAATGGTTTTTACAGAAGACTCACCTGAATCGCAGCTGGATCCTTCGTTCCAGGATATACTTCAACAGAGTGTGGTTTCGGTTGATACGATCTTCAAGGGATTGCAGCATATTTTCACGAAGAAAACTACTTATTTATCAGTCGGAATGTTTTTTTTTCATGAGAAGTATTCCACTTTTAAGACTATTCTTCAACGTTGAAGTTTGGCTCTAGATAAGCCGACCTTGAACACCTAGTTTGAAGTAACATTCATTTAGGGGATCGTAACAGAAGAAGTACCTGGAAATTACTCTCAGTCACGTTTAGTAGCTTTTGACGCTGGGTGATTCAACGGAATCACACTCCCATATTCAACCAATGAGGGAACTGGTTCCTCTTCCATGTGTAAGATGAACTGTGGCTGTCGTGCTGAGTTATGTTCATAGAGCTGAATGTGTTATTTAATTGGGGCATTCACAGTGATTCTGAGGATCAGGCGTCTGACAACGACTGCGTTTCTTGTAAATCGCCATATACGGAAACGAACCAGTTCAAATTATAACGGTAAAAAAATAGTTCCTTAGAGCACTAGAGTAAAATGGGTTTGTCAGTGACTGTCTTTTCCGACTGGAATGATATTCAAACTATCATTTACAGCCTTGATAGCCCCTCCAACATCCAGTGCTTCATTTTAAGATTTTTGGGGCCCACTTAACCAATGGCCGCAATGACGATACTTGTGCACTCTTGTATACTCCACGGTGATGGGTGACAGAGATTTTGCTTTTTTATTAATTGACTGAGCAAGCCTTTCTCCAACGAAGGAAATTTATTTTCGTACTTGAATATTGTTCGTTCTAATGACAGAAACATTTTATACGGTTTCCGGAAGTTTGTTGGGAGAAAGCTTATCGTGACAAAGCTACTCGTGTGTTCGAATACATGTTCGGAGTCACTTGTTCAAACATTTGTTTGAGTTTCGTACTTTGCGCAGTCAGGACCTGAACACCGATAGAATAGTTCGGCCATACCAATGGCCATGTGAGAAGCACTGTCGGGGGAAGCAACTGTGAAAAGTGTGGGCTGGCCAGGTCAACCACCTTATTATTATCATTTCAGAATGAAGGGATAGAAAAGTGTTCGTCCATTACGTAACTGGGGTTTTTCCCTTTCTGGCAATTATCTACAGGCAGCTAAGTTTGAGTGTCCGCGTGTGTTGTGACTTGCTGAACGGTAGTGCAACTCTGTATCAGTCCCTTAGCTTCCTGCTCCGCCCACTTTGGTATATCTGCTATATCAAAAGGCACGGTGGCTCTAGAGAGCCCCTTTATGGAGACAAAGGAAAATTATTACAACTGTATTTATAGGGTAGTCACAGAGCGTTCCACAACGTCGTCCTGGAAGCACCGTGAGGGGGCGAGAAGCTTCCAGTCAAGGATGCTCGGCCCCGATTAGCCGGCATTCTAACCAATCAGGGCATGCTTTCGAAGGGCCGGGTCCTGCACGTGACACATCCGTCCAAGTGATGTTATGTTCGGTTATTGAGGATGGCTGGCCTCCGAAAAGCGGGACTCTTGTTTTGGCATACAGGTCAAGTTGACGCGATCGGATCAAAGTCGTTCCGTTCATAGCAGGCAGTCGAGTTTGCGTAAACTTCGAGACAACAAAGGAAAAACTTCAGAATACAGCACAATAGGAGTGGAAACGTTCAAGTACACAATAGTTGGACTGGAATCGGGCTTCTCAGTCCTCCTGGTTAGCCAAGTTAAACAAATTTCATGGACCATTTCAGACAGTTACCTTGTTTCATGACCGGTGTTTGATGCCTTGCATGGACAAAAGTCGCTAATAGACCTTGGCAAATCATCCTTCTACAAGGGTTTCGATCGGAAGGTATTCCAGTATTTTTGGTGCGTAAATTGTCTCGATAGTTGTCCAGGGTCTCCGCAATACCACTTCGGTCCTAGGGTCGCCTGTGGAAGGCAAACATGTGTAAGGCGATAGTGCTTTCGACTTGGGTTTTACCGACGGTGTGTAAGTTCTCGTTTTAACTCGGTTTTCAGGGCGCCATCTGTGCGAATTCTGATTGTTCTACCAGTTGGGCATCGTTTAGCATTCCTATCTCGTTTAGGGTAACAAAGCTTCTAAGATGAATGTGCTATTCACTACAAATCTTTTCGTTTGCTGAATCTTGCGATTGTTTCATCCAACTGTTTAGAAATCTAAAAAGCTGATGACGTTCTGTCTCTCTGACTCTGAACTTGAACCAAATGTCGGGTTGGGATTGATGTGCGAAGGCGACTATGTCATCTACTTAGCACCAAGGATACAACCAGGCTGAGGTAATTCAAGCTTTTCCATGAATACATCATTCCAATTCATCTGACGCACGCGAGCTGATTTCACTAAGACTCATTCGTTAAAAATCAGCACTTTTGACCAAATATGCTGACTACGGACCACCAATTACCCGGTGACATCAGTGTCTAAACGCTGAATGTTTCTAAACTCCTCCGACCCGTTGTAGGTTTCTACCCTTTGCACCAGCCCTACAACGCTCAACGGGAAACCTGACTTCAAGTTAACGTTGGTTGTTGGTTGAAAAACGGTCTAACGCCTTCCTGCTCGAGGAGAATCACCGTCATTTGATAGACCACCAGTTCAGAAAATTGTAGCCCGTTTGACTAATCTGAAAGCATGAAGTACAACTTCCAAACTCACATTCTATCATTTACATTTTCGGTGGGTATCGGTAACCAACATGTGAACCTGTGGAGCTCCAACCCCTGCTCTCCACCGGGAATTAATTCATTGCACCCTAAGCAGTCTGCGCAATTTAAACCAGAACGCACCACCCTACAATAGTTTATAGGTTGGAGGTATCAGACTCTGACACAATGGCTTCTGAAATCATCCCAACGATAATGTTTAAAAGATAACGGAAAGAATAAGCTTGCCTGCCTCCATGGAATATAGTCACATGACGCGAAAATCAGTCTTTAACCCTTACTCGTTCACACTGCTAGGCGCATAACTCTCTTAAGTGAACCAGGAATTCACTGGACAGTCTGCTAAATCACCTGAGGGCCAAAAGAGTTTTGGTCATAAGGGGGATTATTATCTGTCGCACAGCAAAGGTATGATTCAAACACGAACTTGCGGAACAAAATGTGCTCAGCAGAGTTAACTTGCACAGAATAAGCTCTGAGAACCAGTGGCCGCTACAGGTACCATGCTGACGGAGTGGTAATTTCTGCACAGGGTTCTCGTGTTCCATGTAAAAGTGACAGCGAGAACTCAGTCTCTCCATACCGGAACCAAGTTCCCTTATTTATAGCAGCTTAGGTTACCAATACACATCTAGATTGCTGAAGCAAGTTTCCTAAGGTTGATCTAAACTTGGCTGTCCTTATGAAGGTGATTTCGGGCATAGTTAGTTCTCTAGCGTGACAGTTCGGTTTCGAAATTTCAGTTTATTTTCTCCAGGATTTGATTTGCAGTAGACTGATTCGGAGTGTTCGGACAAGTTTTTCAAAGAACTTCTCACCAGTGAACAGTTGCATCAACTTTCAGCCTCTGATTGCTCAGGTGTCTCCCTCTGGCTGGATATTTTTTCGTGGCGATAAAAGTACTGTTCGTCTTGTGAGGCTGCACAACTTTCCAATGCCCGCGGCATTTTTTAGACTCGCACTAGTCATCGATCAACGGCTAGGTCTGCACCGTCGTGCCCATTGTCTCATTTTATGATGAAGTCTGATCATAATTTAACCATATCCGAAACAATAAAATATACATTTTTGAGTGGATTTCAGTTTTCAAACCCTCGAATTTTCACAGAATAGGACAAGTACTGTATACAAGACAGTTTCAGACATTTCCAGGTAGTGAAGGTGTTTGTTTGACCCCGTTTAATAAAAAGGTGACCAGACCAAGTTATTCACGATACCATGAGTTTAACCTATCAGGTGTAAGTTACTCACGATTGCGAGGCTATGAATGCACCGATATAACACATCGAGAATTTATTCTGGACTGAATGCACCGAGTTAAGCAACCAGCATTCCGAACGACACCCTAGACAGATATATTAGGTCGAAATAATGGATCCACACAAATTTCTCCTCGACTCGGATCAATAGGTTCGCGACAGGACAAAGTCCACTTGATGGCTCTGAACTAGCCGCGTAAAGTCGAGTGAGTGATAGTCCAATAATGATTGACGTTCGGAACAAAAAATAACGTGGAAAAGGCAGACTCTTTTGTGAACAATAAGAGCAGCCTGACGAAGAGACCAGCAAAGCAGTCCAGATGGCTGAGCTCAGAATCCCAATTCCAAAATATCGGAGAATGGATATTAGTGGCGTTACCGCTAACAGAAAGGCAGGTGAACAAACTGGCACGCAAACCATTGGGTGCGTGCGCCGCTCGCCGGAGAGACGAAAATGAAGATGGGTTTTCTTGTATAAGGTTCGCTTAAGATACGAGATGAGGGATATTCGATGTAGCAAACACGATACGACCTGTTTGTTTACAAATGACAGGATATACTTAACAGTATGCCTGCTTTGGACTCTTCTCTGAAGAGGGAGATCCTTAAGGGACAACAGGCTGGTTTGCGGCTGAGGAAGAACCCTGTCATGGACCATCCAGGAAAGAAGCCTCACCCCGAAAGCATGCCCACTTTTTGCTTGCGTGACTGCTCTTTAAACGGTCTGCACGTACAATATTCCACTCAAAAGTGACGCCAAATGCCCTACTAAGTCAAGTTTAATCTGATTTAGCTTGCTCATCAGTTCATTTAAAGAAGGAAAACAATTATCCCCCAACCAGCCTTGATGGGATTTTACCCACACCAATAAACTCTTCAAATTTTCACGCACACTCCAAAACAAATAACTGATGCAAATTGCGTAACTACTTTACAGGTTATGGGAAAAGACAGTGATTGCTACAGTGATGGCTTGGGGATATTTGAAGGGACGGCAGGCGCGTTGACGCACATCGGTCAATTTTGTGGCATCCACAATCCTCCACCAATCGCAAGCCACATTAAAGAATTGACCCTCTTCTTGAACACAGACAGCAAGTGCATGGCGAAAAGCTTCCTTGCAAATTGTGCATCAGGTAAGTCAGGCAAGCAACTGAGTTTTCATCAATTAGGTGCTTTTCGTCCACGATAAAAAGGGATCGGAATGCACCACTCATAATGATGCTTAAAATTGTCCAACTGTTTTTGTCCTTCTTGGAGTTTATTAGATAGGCGCAGTCCTCGAGTTTCCGTCAACCTTGTTTTACTTGAAATCAAATTGCATGAAATTAGCGAAATGCACTCATTTGCAAACAAATTTGGTTTTGCAGGAGACTCATAACGTCATAAACGAGGGATTCAGCTAGGTTTCAGGCGAGTCTCCCGCAAAATTAAATTTGCTTTCAACTGAAGGTATTCCGTTAAGGGATTGAAATATTTTTCTGAACATAACGCTACTTATAAGGACGATAAAAATCTTTGCGCAACGGTATATTGGTTGCGCCTATTTTGCCATCCAGCTGTTAGATGCCTCTTTTATGATACGGCATCAGTGTGATGCTTACAAGAAGGTGAGACTGGTAGTCATCGCTTCCAAGGTCATTGTCAATCTTGCAGTTTGGTTGGGTAAACGGAAGTGACTCAGAATCATGAATAATAGTACAAATTACTCAAGCGATGGCTTTGGGTAGCATATTTATTTAGAGATTAATATAAACTAGAGATTTATCTGACTATTGAGTCAGTCCCAGCTGGTGCCAAACTAGTTTGAATATGAAGAAATAGTTCGAAATAATCAGGTTTTCAACTTTTCAAAAGCATTTACGTCAGTGTAGATCATGAGGCCTTTCAGGACGTCTTTATAATTAGCAAAATTGTCTTTTTGAAGGCGTTTTGTTTTAAGCTGATTTCTGCATTTAGTTTCATTTTGTGATCCATAGAACGGACACACGACACAGTGGTTTCATAGATGATAGAACAGTTTGATCTCACATCCGGTACGCGGCGCTCTTTAAAACAGTTGGTACGAAATCGATACATCTTGGTTTGTAGTACGGTTCGTAGTACATTTTATCCGTTGTTTCGAATTATCCTCCAACGCTTGTAATAAATTACGGATTTGCTTTTTATTTATGTGGGATCCTCATATTCCGTTTGAAAACTTAAGCAGCATTCATTTTCATCATATGAGAACAGAATAAGCACTATTCATCAGACAAAAAGATTCAAAACTACATTTATTCGACTGATTCCTGCTCAGGAGTTGTTTCAAACCTGCTCTGAGTATTAGTTAGTTGCTGGCCTGTTCGTCTGCGCACTGACGTTGTGTCTGCCCAACTGGTAACGAAACTGACAGGCCAAAAGCTGAAGTATCCTCTGGGTTACCAATAATTTGCAACATTCCCTATGGTCCAAGTATCGTTAGAAAGATGCCACCGCGTATTCGCTGCTCTTTTCTATCCTAATGAGCAAAACAAGTGCAGCTGAGTTTTCGGAGAAGGTTGTAATGTTATTATTGGTCATCGAGTCAGGCTAGCTAAAGCTGTCGGGAAAACCCTGTTCACTGTTGCCGTTAATCTGGTAATTGTCAGCGTTTACCTATCAGGAGCAAAACTGTATGACGTTGCTGACTATGGTCGCCAACTGGCTGACCACTGTTCATTCTACTGACAGTATCTGGAAGCCACCGTTCCCACTGGAGCTGTCCAAAGGTTGATTGATGTTGCATCATGTGTGTGGCAGATGTTCCGTGGCATTTTCTGAACGTAGCAAATCAGGAGATGCTGTATTTAGCACTGGTTTGAAAACTGATCCTCCACTTGTTTGGGTCGACGAAAAGAACCATGCAACTTATATGTAAACCCAATCGCCTGAGCACAGTACACTTGGGTGGCTGTTGACCCCGCTTCACAGAATAAAAACACTTCGATAATTATGTCAGAGTTCCAATTTTAGATTCTCCTGAGAAGAAACTCCTTCATTAGTGTGAGGCTTCAACTTCAGCTAAGAAATGATATCTGTCGCCGAAATAATAAGTTGACCAATGGAATTTTCAGATGTTTCCTGCATTTAAAGGAGTAGAATATGTGGTTCTCAGGTGTCTGTTGTAAGCTATCTTCAATTTCGGTAGAAGTGGCTTGATTCTTGGTAGCTGTTTCTCGCACAGCGGTCGATGACTACAAGCTCATACATCTGTATCCACTTTCGATACAGTTGGAGTAGCAAAATTTTAAAAGTACTTGTAAAGCTTCACCTAAAATCTTGGACTTTTCATGCTGGCCAGATTATCAGCCCTATTTATTCTGAGGCAACTAGGGATTTGCTTCTCGTCAAATAATATATATAAAGTAATAAAACGATGAATGCAATAAATTTATAAATTTATACAAATTTGTATCGATAGTGTCCGCACACTTGAAGGGTACCAATAGGCGGAGAAAGAGGTGACTTTACCTCAGGCGCCGTACCAAGGCCTAACATCAATAATAACCATTATAATAATTATAAGGATAAAAGTAGTAGTTTAGCAAATATGTTCGTCGTTGAGGGTCATATGGCCCAACTATTCTGTTGCACCCAGAGTGAAATATATCATAACGCTACTTTGGAATTTTCAGTATGTGGCAGGTCAGCATTGGTGAATATAAGGTGAACTACATTTCCCATACCATGGGGATTTTTTTAAAATACTATTGCGTTGACCACTGGAATTGTGCCCACACGACTGGTGAGGTTGGTCGTCTGCCTGTAATGGGTATAACTTTGAACGACCAATCCAGCAAACCCAAGAACAACTGGTCAGCTTGTGCCTCAACTAACAGAGTTTCCCAGAAAGTAGCCATTTTGATCAGCGATTCACTTCTTACTTCAAACGATGTCGACTAAGTACAAGGTAGATTTCTTCAAAATGTAAACATTTTTCTCTGAGATCATTCTTTTATCATAATGAAATCAGGATTTGGTTCGTTCTTGTAATGAAAACTCTCTAAATAGGACCACTCATCCCAGGTTCCTTAGCTGTTACCCACAAAATAGAAACCACTGGGTCTTAGTTATCAACACAAAATCATGCAGCTTTAGTCACTTACCCTCAGTGATTGTATTGTACTCACAGTTTAGAACGTAAGACCAAGTGAAATAGGGTTGCTTTCCGTGGGAATAGAATAGCGCCTAGGTTTTGGCCGAACGGACGATGACAATTCGGCAATAAAGTCGGACAGTAGTTTTTAACAGAGTGGTGTTTTATAGGCTGTTCGAACAGTCATTTGCCAACGTCAATCTTGAAAGACAACTTGTACGCAAAGGTGTTTCATCTGTTAGTCGAGGCATCGGCGTGTTTCAGTTTACATGCTAACATCGTCTGCTAGGATTACCTAAAAGGATAACAACAGTGTGAGTAGTATCCTTCATGAAAATATACTGCGATATCTCGAATATCGTACGGACTGAAATATGAGGCAGCCTGTGTGCAGTACATTCAGTTGTAGAACATCATAAACGAGAGATTCAGTTGAGTCTCTTGTGAAAACCAAATTGATTTGCGAATGAATGTATTTCTCGAAAACAGTGCAATTTGGATTCAAGTAGAACATAAGGATGATGGAAACTCCGGGACTGTGCCTACCTGATGAGCCATAAAAGGACAACAAAGAACGATCGTGGGCCGTTGAAGAGTTTTCAGCAACCTTGTGAGTAGTTTTCTTCATGAAAATAACAAGTGTGTTTGGAACGAGCCTTCTATACCCGTTCCAGATATATTAACAAAGTTTTTTGACTAGTTTGCAACAAACTGTAATCTTGTCAATTGGGTGCTAGTATTGAACCTCAACGTACGATTTTCACGCATCGTGATGTTTCACTTGAAACAGCTGTCAAGTTATAACCTCCCGTGGGCAGAATACGGAGAAGGTTTGCAAAGATTAAGATCTTTTGTCTTACGCATGCGGTCAGTTAAACACACAAGAATGTCATGACTAAACGGCGGCATTGGTGCTCTTATTGCGCTGACAGCTAAAGCCTGATCAGAAGAAATAGGTTATGGGAGTAATATGGATGAACGGAATAGGGAGAAGAAAAGGTGAATCAGTTGATGAGAATAGTTGAAGGAGGATTCTATCTTCTTACAGTACCATGGCACCTAATATTTCTGGCTTAGTGCGTAACATTGAAGTTAGAACTTGGAAACTGGAGCGGCCAGCAATGAACTCTGTACGGACGGCCTTCGGGGACTTCAGTAAGACTCCTGGCTGCAGTAAAGTCTTGCAAGAAATACCTACACCTCAGTTATCTTTTTCAGACTGTTTTCTAATGAGATGACTCAATTTTCCTCATATTAGAGCTTTGATCTAGCAGCATGATTCAAACATGTGTCCTTTTAATCTTTTCATCAGATCAAAACGTAGTACGGGAGAAATCAGCCAGTAAGTGTGCCGCTTGACCTCGTTTGCATTTCGCTATCAGTTTGTTAACTGATATTGATCAATTGTGGGGACGGTATTTGCTAACTCACGGTCACCTAGCTACTCAAAATTTTATCAGTAGCGTGCGGCCAACTCGAAAAAACCTACACTGCATGAGGTAACATTCAGGGTCACTGCCCAGATAAAAAGCCCTCCGAAGTGAAAAGTAGAAAACGCCACCTCTCGTCAAACAAAAGTTATTACGTAGAAAGAGAGCACCAATTAAATCGAACATGGTTTTCAGTCAACCTAAATTCGGAGGTATAACCGGGGGATATCTTTTACCTTTTATAATCTTTTAGCATGGGAATTCTCGCAAAATCTTTACTAACACGTCTATTAGACAAACACTGGTGGTTCTGTCCGCAACTTTAAACGAGTAACGAATCGGGACGACGAACAAATAAGGTTCCAAATTTCACCTGGATAAAGCAGAAAAACCTTTCAATGCTATACGTAGATGCGGTGAGGTAGCACATCCTATAAACTTTGGGAGTCCCAATACTTGCCAGGTTAATCCGTGAATAT